TATATATATATATATATATATATATATATATATATATATATATATATATATATATATATATATATACATCTACTATCACTTTTTATTCTTATTACAAAGGAGCATAATATTATATTATATATATTATGTTATATATCAGCTTATTTGTAATGGTCAGATTTTTGGCACTTTTTTAAAATGTCTGTCATTAAGCAAGATGTGATGTTATTTATATAGCTAGGTTTAAAAAAAAATGTCAACAGTTTAATTAATGTTAACTCACTTGTTTAGAAAGATTCTCTTCAGTCTTTTTTCTCCACTGTGAGAGTAGTTGACCTAAAAGGGAAATCTAACCATAAAAGGCCCCCGACTCTGACATCCTGCTAAATTTGTGAAACATTTTGAATACTTTCAAATTCTTCAGCCTTCAATCCTGTCAGCTCTGCATAAACTTGCTTTTATTAGTCATTATTTCACCCCTCAGATACAGAAGGGCTTGTTTGTGTCATGGTCTTCACCATGTTGGAATGTGAAGCCAAAAACATGCTGGACAGCTGTGGAACAGGAGCTGCAGATAGAGACATGCCCTTGAAACATGTTTGTTTACCCAAAATGCTCAGGGATTTAAGGCTGTGAATACCAGCTTCTTTGAGGAAAGAGGAATTTCTGTGATGATTCACAATCACTCTTAAGAGAGGTTATATAGTGGAGACCACTCTGGCTCTCTTTCTTATGCTTTTTTTTAGTAGTTGTTTGCAGAACCGAGAGCTGGTGTGTGGTGTTTCCTCAACTATCAGGATTTGGATCATTTTCTGAGCGCCCTGTCGTTCCAGCAAATGAGAGGCAGAAGCTGTGTGATTTTATAGGAAATTTATATGGAGTTCAGCAGCATTCCTAATCCAAACACAGAAGTGTCCTCCCACACGTCCCGAATCCTTACAATAACAGCCTCTTACTACAAGGTGTATTTTCTGCTGACAGTACAATTTTCACCATTAAACTCCGTAAGAAACAACAGTCAGGTTGAGTCAAAGATCCCAATTTTTTTCTGGTCCAGTCAGTATTGATTAAGATCTTGCAGGTTTAATCAACACACACAAATATTCCTGGCTCCCGGTTTGAGCCCATACAGCTGGGACAGAACATTCCTCGGAAATATCCCATAAACCCAGAAGTATGCTCACTCCGATTGCATGAACACAATGAGAGAGGGAGAAGACTGAGGTCTGCAGCTTTGCTAGTGCTCAGGGTAAATTCCCATGCCGTTGTGTTAGCTGGTCAGGGCCATTGAAAGGCCTTGTTCTAACAAACGAACCATCACACCTTTGGCTTTGCTCTCTCCGTAATGAAGCATGCCATATGGATGTTCTCACTTTGATGCCCTGTGCATTGACAATAAACAGACGTAAACACCATGTGCAAAAGTGTCTTGTGCGCTGCATGCGAAATCCCATGTTATTCTTGGAACTGATTACATTGGCATTGAAGGAAAAGGAGGAAATTATCTGTGTTCATATGTGGTGTCTCATCAGACGTTTTATGATTTATTGCATTACAAATCCCTATCATAATGAATTTAGTCTTTTGAGTTGCACGTTTTTCAGATAAATATTTACATAGCTGATTTAATCAGTTACACAATTTTAGTAATGTCAGTTTGCATGAAATGTTTATCAATTTTGTACGTTATTTTATACATGTTTGTGTGCAGGGTACCAGGGAGACCCTCAGCCGTCACTGCAGCATGCTGGGAGATGCTCTGCACAAGGAGAACGATTTCGCTCTCATCATAGATGGAAAGACACTGAAGTATGCCCTCACTTTTGGGGTACGCCAGTATTTCCTGGACTTGGCTCTTTCCTGCAAGGCTGTGATATGTTGCAGGTATGTAACTATACATGGAGAATTTACTGAAAACCAGCAAGAACAACTTAATGACAGTAACATAAACCCTTACAAAGTATTACAACAAACATCAAAGATTCATTGAACCCGTGGTTTCAAAATGTGTCACATGGGGATCCATGAACAATTTGGGAAAAAATAGGTATTTGTTTTTTGTTTTGTTTAATATTGGGCAAAAAACCCAAAACATTTAATTGTGTACTTGAAAGTAAATGTTATCCAGATAATATTTCAGTTTGTTTTGACTGTAGTACAGCGAGGAATAAAAGTTATTCATTTAATTTTGGAAACAAAATTATTATTTTTTTTAATATATAATGCTTAATTTTCACACAATCTGAATAGGTCTTTCAGAATGAAAATATCAAGCTGCCTACTTTATGAAAAGGGACCATCACAAGGGTTTGGTGGTCCTTGCCGTCAAAAACTCACAATAATTTAAAGAAATTTTCCAATTTAACTATTGCTACAAATGAAAGAATTCTATTTTCCAGTGTCCAAGTAGAGGGGAAAAGTGAGAAAGTAAAAGAGTCCAATTATTGCAAATTTCCACTGTATTCGGATGCAGTATATTTCCATTGTTAAACCAAAGTTCACAGGAAGTTGTAATGTCATGCTCAGCTTGAATGTTTACTGTTTTACAGGTGGATGTAAATATGTCTTTGCAGGTTAATAACACTTTTTGCCCTCCAGGAAACTGATGCCATCATTGGACATTTTTCTGCACTTTGCAAAAACATCAAGTGACTGGCAGACAATTACAGGGAAATGCTGCTGTGCGGTTTAAAGAACAAATTACCTTCCCTTTAGGTCACAACCTTCCCAATAAACATAATTATACTAGCTCTCAAAGCAGTCATTTACTAATGAGTGTTATTTTTTTTAAATAGTAGATTGTAGTCAGAATGTCTGTCAGTTATACACAGTTAAACTGTGTGTTAGCAGACTAGAATTAACTGTTCCAAAAAATGCTACACAGTAAAAGAAACATATGAGGAACCAATTGAGCGTGACAAGGAACTGCCAAAAATCAGTGTCCATTTCCAGAAACAACGCACACCACAGGTGCCACAGCCATTATGCAATGCTTGATGTAATCTATCCGATCTGCTTTCGCTCGCTACTCACACATGCGAACAGCCACACAACGTCCTGAGGAGAACAGATTTGTGCCTGCAGATGAATAAATGTAAACTGACTCTAGAGGTCTCCTGCTGTATCGGCAACAATCTCTGGTTCACTGGAGAGCCTTACATCACTCTACGTTCATTGCTTACAGGATGACCTGTGAACGTTAAGCTGGGGTTAAACCCCGGAGGAGCTTTTCTAGCCAAAAGCGAGACCCTAATTTCATTTGCTGACACGGATGATGCAGTACTGTAATGTGCTGCAAGCTTTTACATTTACATTTAGTCATTTAGCAGACGCTTTTATCCAAAGCGACCTTACAAATGAGGACAATGGAAGCAATCAAAATCAACAAAAGAGCAATGATATACAAGTCCTATAACAAGTCTCAGTTAGCTTAACGCAGTACACGTAGCAAGGTTTTTTTAAAATAATATAATAAATGAAAAGAAAACCGATAGAATACAAAAAGATTAGAAAGCAAGTGTTAGTTGTTGTTGTTTTTTAGGAAAACAAGCAGCAAATTAATAGTGCAAATCTAAAAGGATTTTTTTTTTTTAAGAATAGAATTAGAATAGAGAGTGCTAGAGTAGTTAGAGGGTCAAATAAAGATGGAAGAGATGCGTTTTTAGCCGATTCTTGAAGATGACTAAGGACTCAGCTGTTCGGATTGAGTTCATTTAAAAGTCCGTAATAGTGATTTTGTGCTGCTTTGGGATGGCACAATAAAGCACCGTTCACTTGCAGAACAACGCAAGCTTCCAGAGGGCACATAAGTCTGAAGTAATGAATTTAGGTAAATAGGTGCAGAGCCAGTGGTGGTTTTGTAGGCAAACATCAATGCCTTGAATTTTATGCCAGCAGCTATTGGTAGCCAGTGCAAATTGATAAACAGAAGTATGAAGTGCATTCTTTTTGGCTCATCAAAAATTAATTTTGGATTAATTGTAAAGGTTTGATAGAACTGGCTGGAAGACCTGCCAAGAGAGCATTGCAATAGTCCAGCCTGGACAGAACAAGAGCTTGAACAAGGAGTTGTAAAGCATGTTCCGAAAGAAAGGGCCTGATTGTTATTTTAAAAAATTTATGTATTTAAAAAAAAAAATTATTATATAAAGGTCAGGGATCCTGTGCTCAGGTTGGGCTTCATCAGGAACACAGATTTGCCCAGTTTGGACATCTGTGAGGTGTGATTTGCCATGCTCGTGAAAAACCATGTAACTTTCTGTAGTAAATAGACCTATTTCAAGTTTTCTCAGGGTGTCCGCGGGTCCTTAAAAAGTCTTAAATAACGTTTTCCTAATATAAGGCCTTAAAAAGTCTTAAAATGTCTTAAATTCGGATTCGATGGGTCTTAATTATTTTTGGTCTAATTACCGCTAAAATCTCTTCAGTCTGACGGACCTAATGACTTTATAATCACTGGACAGACAGACCGAAGATTGGTTCTTCCCGCGGTAAGTTACTGCGTCATCAGAGAGAACTGCAGAAAACAGAATACAAGCTCGCGCTGCTGAGGCTCACTCTGTTTGTCTCGAGACTTCAGAACAAATGAGCGTGACAGCACTCATAAACTCAGAAGAAACGCACTGAGGTAAAAATTCACAATGTTTAGTTTATTCATAACATGATATAGTTAAATAACACCATGACAAGTGAGCTATTTTACTCAATATTCTCACGACGCAAAAAAAACAAACATTCAAAACGCCTACAGAGTGCACGCATTACGTGAAGTCTAGCACTCTGCCTGATCACTGCATGATTCAGTCTATTAAAATACATTCAGAATGATCACAAATTCAAGACATGGGGGCAGAAAATGTGTAATGTTGTTTAATATATCAAAACATTATTTCTGCATTTGTAACTGCAGGTTAAATGCATTCATGTTCTGCATTAAACGGTGTGTAAATACAGCTAAATGCCACTTCAGATGCAGCTTATGTCTGGATTGCAAAGATGAATTTTGTTGATACTGATTTAATTTGCTTGGTAACAGCCCAAATGTCTTATTCTTATTCACTGATTAAATGTAAGAATTTGACTCAAAAGATAATGCACACTTATAGAAAAATGGCTTTATAAAGGTAAAATGCCCATAAAAGGTACAAATCTATTTAAACATATCTGACCACCACACAGAATATGAAGAATATCAAAAACTTTAGGAGTCAGCTGTCCACGAAAGTCCTTAAGATAGCAGCATGATAACACACTCAATCAGTTGAATGAATGACTCAATACTCGCTCATTAAGTGACTTACCGTCACTGGTAGTTCAGTTGAGAAGTTTGTTGAAAAGTATGCATTTTTCCCCTCAACATTTCTTATTTGTATA